TTTTGGAGCATCAAAGATTCTGGTTCCAGAAGGAAGTGGATGTATTTCATTAGAAACTATGATAAAAGAAATAATCAAGGCTTTATTTAATACAGAGTATTGCAAGACAAAGTATGGGACTGTATTTTGACTTCTAAAGCATTCTGGAAACCAATGGTGTTTACCAATAACAACAATAAAGAGTTCCACCCTGGGGAAAAAACAAAACATATGCAGTTTTGCCACTTAAAAAGATGTGTGGAATCTGAATAAAATCATCATTTCCCATAATCATAATATTAAGAACCACCAATTAGAGGAAGCCAGTAATAAAAATCCATCTGTAACCATGATCACCTAGTTTGAAATTAAGCAGTGACGCACCTTGATTCACTTTCATATCTCCATCTTAAAAGGCATGTTAGAAAACAGGCAAAGTTAATTATGGTTAAAAGGTGATTAAATGTAACTTTGAAAATGAGACGATGTTTTAACTTCAGTATGTTCTGGAAACCTGCTTGCAACTGTAACAGACAAAAGAGAGGATGATATTATCATGAATCAATAGGAATACCTAAAAACAATTGAGAAGAACTGGCAGTCCTCTTCATGTGGAACATCTGTATTTCTGTGCTGGAAAAAGCTCACTCTTCTCCTTTAACACTCATCATCCTGTATTTATGCCATTTTTTATTTAGAAAATCTAATCCAAATTAAATATGTGTATACATATATAGCCAGAAGTTCATATTCATGATTTTGCGCAGTTTTATGATTAAAATAAAGGCAAAACCAACATTGGAGAACTTAGAATTCTAAATGCCAGAAGAAACATAAGAAATCTTTCAAGTAATGGGAGATCTCAAAAAACAAAAAACAAAAAACCCAAACATTACAGCTCTTTTTTTTTCTCCAAGTCAAACACAAATACATGTCATATACAATAAAAAAATATTCCTTTTACACCACTGTTGATGTTATCTAAATGAGTCTGTTGTCAAAGGAAAATTATCAAGTTTGCAAGTTTCATTCTATCACTAATTACTAATAATTAAACTAATAATGATAATTACTAATTATCATTACTGATGGAATTTTTATCTGATGTGAGTTATTCAGATCACATACAGAGAAAGCAATACTTTGAAAAACAAGATTGAATCACCCAGTCAAAACTGCTAGCAATAATCATGCATAACAGACACAGCTCAGTCAGTGCTGGATCCATTCTGCTTTACATTTCATCTGTGAGATGCTGGAAGCACAAAGGGAACAAAAAATTTTAATTAGGACTTTCTTTGATGCTGCTCAATAGAAGGAATGTAGTAGAAAAGTCATCTGAAAATGGAAAAAATACATTTACTGTGTATAGAAGGTAAGAAGCAGCAAAATTAGTTACCCAATATGTTTTGAGTTTGCAATTCAGGCTTAGGCGTTGATTTAAATTCCTTAGGTCTGTGTTTTTTCTCAGCCTGAGCTAGAAAAAAAAGAAGCTTTATTTAATTTTGAATCTCTCTATGCATTTCTGTTCATCTACTGCCCAAAGCCCACTGCTTTTTTAACCACTATTCTATGTCAGCTGATTAGTATTTTTTTTTGCAGCAGATAATTTCATTATAATTCATTTTTATCTTCACTTATGAATTCCATGAGTATTGGGTTAATTTTGTGGCAGTTTTACATAAGAAAAAAAAAAAAAAAACCACCAACAAAAAAAACATGTTAGTCAAAAAGACTTAGAAACTCAAACAGTACTTCTGCTGCAGACTCCCAAGTTTCATTCATAGAACATAGAATAACAGAATTGTTACATCACACAATGTATTTACAAATATTTTCTCTGCCATTCCGGATTTTTAAATTATTCTAATTGAAAAATTATCAGAAAAAAAAAAAAAAAAAAAAAGAATAAAGATTCCCCTGTAATAATACCTTAGTTCATTTTATCCATGATAACAATGATAGCAATAGGTGATACAATAAGTGATAGCAATATAACAGTCTTTTGACTTCTACTCTTTCTTCTACACCTTCACAGTAAAGTATGGGTAGCTAATCAAACAGCCATTCATTGCAGCTATACTGAATTGCTAACTATATTTTAATACACTAGTGCATAATTATACTCCTTACTTTGCATAACATTTAATTCTTAAGGTATGTAAGCCAATATCACTTCTTTCTTGCATCTTGTCAGAGGTCTTTTAGTGTTTAATCAATCATAAAGGACATATGAGCAAAAGTCTGAGGTTATGAAACAAGAGCAATATGGAACACAGGATGTTAAGTTCTCAGCCTTAAATATGGTGAGAACATTAGTTCCTTCCAGAAAGCAAATTGCACAGTATTTAGCACATATTGGTATATACAGGGGACAGTGGTGATTAGCTTCAATATAGGATTACATTTTAGTCTTTACTTAGTTTAAGATCACTTTCATTTTGAAATGGAGTAAAAGAGAAGTTATTTTTGCTTGTTTGCCTTATTCTCCATACTTCTTTCACAACCCATTCAGCATGTTAAGCATGCTTCAGGCAAGAACAGAAAGGGTAAATGTATAAGCTTATTATTTCATTTCCTGAAGAAAACATGTTGTTTCCCAGCTTGAAAATAGCTGGATAGCTGCTACTACAGTTAGAAACTTTTTACTATTTTCTGTTTTGGAGGACAGTGTGCTTCAGTGCTTTGAAAGCTATAATATCCATACATGCTGTTTATTAAAACCCAATTCAGTTTCTACTATGTCAACTATAGTGTTCTTACTGTCATCAGTGGAAAGAGATTTATTTCTACAGAGAAGTTACAGCAATTTATCTCTATGAACTCTGTGGGAGAAAATTCACCCGTGAGAGACCTTGAAAGATAATAGCAGCAACAAACAAACCCCAACAAATTCCTCAGAAGTGCTTCAAAAGCAAACATTTCTTTCTGCTTAAATGTAACCATGAGAAAAAAGCAAATACAGATATTTAGACATCATTATGATTTCTTTTTTAAGAAGACTTTTGGTTTTCACTCACATGAAGCATGACCCTTGACAACCAAGTTAGCTGAGCATGTCTAAAACTGGGATAAAGGAAATGAGGCTCTCCTCTGTTTCACACAGATTTTTGTAGAAATGAAGTGAAGCAATTTTGTAAAAAGAGATAAAGGACACGGAAACTTTAGGCCTCAAAGTTTAAAATACTTCCGACTTTTCCCAGTAATTAGGTGAAGTTGGTTTAATAATTTCCTGGGATGGTTCAGTGGTGGCTGCAAAGTAAATTGTTAACAAAACCAAGCAAATATAGTTAGTTTGCTATCACAGCATGGAACAGAGCTAGAATCCATTTAGGTAGCATTTCCCTTGACTCTTTCGTTCCTGATATTCTTTTCCTCCCCAGTCTGAAGATATGATGGAAGCACAGTCCTCACTTTGATATCTCATGTGAGCACATGGGGAAGTCTTCAGAGGCCAGAAGGAGGAAGAACTTGAAAAGGACAGCAACACAGAAATTGCTCCTACTAAAACTAGCCCTAGCGTGGATTCACAGATGGTTCATTTCAATTCAAGTCTGTTCTCTATTTCACAAATCTACTCTGATATATTTCTGGTACAACCCCCTACTAAAAGAAATAACCTGCTGTTTTTTTGTTTGTCTGTTTTCTGAATTAGTTCTTCCATGTCCTAGGCAAATGCACTGATATTTCTAACCATTGGTCAGCTACAATTTCCTTGCCAAGTGAAGAAAATGTTCACACTTGATTCAATTCAGAGAATTTAAAAGTCTGTGAAAAAAATTAAAAACCATTACAAAGTAGTATTCTTTCTAGAATATAATATTCCTAAGTGGAAAACATGAAGCAACAAAGAGCTTACTAGCTAGTCTTTCTGTAAAAGTGCATGCCAAGGGAGGGGAGGCCTGAAATTAAGAAAACGGTGGGATTTTTGTCTGACAAACACAAAATAGTTATTGACCCACACAGAACAGAACACACCCTTTGGCAAAGGCTTACAGTAATGTAAGAGTGGCCGAGCTCATGGAGCCTTTCAGGTAGTTCTGCTTGCTGAAACACTCTAAGCGCCTTTGTTCCCTTCTTGAATGACAGAGATCACATAGTTCCTCTTAAATAAACATTCTGATGCCTCTTCTGGCACCCCTCTTTAAATGTTTCACAGCAAATAACTACGTCTTACTTTAAAAAAAAAAAATCCAGTGTGATTTTCAAATCGGTGAATCCAAACAAAATATAATCAAATAGATCCTAATCCTAAATCAAAATGTGTCTACATGTTATCCTGTCTGTCAAATGCAGCCCTTGCAAAAGGCTGGTGCTCAGAGCTCTCACTTCAGTTGCTTGCGCAAGTCTTGCTTAAATGTATAACTACAAAAGTTATTTTTGCATGGACAACATGTAAACATAGATCCTACTCAGAGAACTTCTGTTTTCTTTCAAAGGATTTGCTCTCACTTTGCTGTTTCCTACTGTCATTTTTAAACTGAAATACCATAATCAAAATGAATGCATTCTTTGATGTAAATAAGCGTGAAACTCCTGAAATATCTACTTTAATATTAGAACTTGGTGCTATGATCAACAACGCATAAACAAAAGGAATAGTCACCAAAGGAAAGGAGATATGGAAGCAAAACCACAGAAAAAGCAAGTAGTAGATTAAAAAAGTTCTGTTTCAGAACAGAACTAACAGTATCATAGCAATAAGAACGTGTAGTTGTTTGTTTTGCCATTTTTTCACAATTTCAAGATATTCAGCAGTCCATAAAGATACAATTCTAATATATAAATATCTACTAACCTAACAATTGGAGTATTGGAACCTTTGTTCCAAAATTAATCAGAATTTTATCTACATTTTATTCTATGTATCACTCACAGCTACTAACTCAGCTTCATTATGCTTTTGTCCTCCAACTACTGCATTTAACTGCAGAGTAAGCAACGTAAAAATGAGTTTAATTTCAGTTTATATCTTTGGCAAAGATATTCAGTAGAGTTTCTGAAAATAGAACACTTATTACCTGGGAGAGACTGAGGCGAGATTTCTTGAACTTCTGGTGTTTTGGATTCAGCAGGCCATACTTGAGTTTCATTCTTACCTAAAGGGACAAAGACATTAGAGAGTTACAGCAAAGCTGCATCTGCTCTTTTCCACTAGAGATTTATTTCTGTCTCACTTCAGTTTGCCAAAGTAAACCAATATGGATAAATGTGGAAAGCTGAATACCTTTAGGAATCAATAAATTCCACTACAATGAATACAAGCATTTGCCTAAAAATGTTAAACACACGTGCATTTGTAATATTGGTTTATTCCTAAAAGATACTTTGAAAATAGGATTCACAGCATAAATTTATGCTTTCTGAGTCATTACGTTCACAGTGCTAAATAGTTTTGCCTAACATTTCACCAGTAAAATAGTTAAATACTTTTCAAAATTCAAAGATGTAATATAGATGTAAGGATTTTATAAGAACAGTCAAATAAATTTTCAAATATTACAGTGACAGAGTGTGCATGTGTTCCTTTACCTTATTTCTGTCAAGTATAGTGGTTGGACAAAATCCTTTAATTTCAACAGATATACATACATAAAAATAGCAGATCTTGGGGACGTTCATTTTGAAAACAGTAATATCTGTTTTTTTCTATTTTCACTGTGAAGAAGGAAATTCATTTTGTGGGTGAGATCTTTTCTGTTTTTCTGGGCTACTATTCTTCAAAAAAACTGGTAGATTTTTGAGAAAGTAAATAGAAAAAAATGGGAATTGAATAAACATGGTATCCTGGAATGCATTGTTTTGACTTTTCTAAATAATACAGAATTATAGTAGTGGCAATATGTCAGAAAATCACTTAGTCAAAACTTCACCCACAACAAAAGCTTTAATGCATTTTACTATAGGCTTACATTGCTTACAGGCATGAGTGAAGGATATCCGTACTTGGTCAGTATGCTTTTTTCTCAATTATTTTATAAATTTAAATTATATTAAATAAATGATAGCAATAACTTTCCTCTTTTACACCTTGAAATCCAGTATTCCCCTGTGTGTAAGTACACCCATGCACTTGATGTTCTCTGGTAAGGAACACACGGTAAATGGAAAATAAAACATCACTTGTTTACCCTAGTTATTTTCACAAAGGTGTGCAATCTACCATGAAGAGTGGCTCCAAACTGACATCACACCAGCTGTTTTAAACAGACTAGAGCATCTAAATTTAGAAGTTCTACGCTTTCCCCACAGAGGAGGTTAGAAACTTCCAGGACAACTGAAACTACCTTTATATTTTTCTTTCTCCCTTTCTCCTCCCTTCTCCTCCCTTCTCTTTTCCACAGTCACATACTGCTACTTTTATTGCACACCTACTGAACCCCTACTTAGTGAACCTTGAAGTCCTGCATCCAGGCCATTGATGAACTGGCCCCAAGATTGGGGAAACTTAATAGTGGCTGCCAGCCTACTGCAATCCCATTTACTTTGATCATTTGAGCCTGACTCATCGGCCAGTTCTTCACACATCACATTATGTTTTTATCTGGCTGTGCTGGTCATTTTGTATAGAAGTATACTGTGAGAACAGTACTGAAAGCTTTGCTGAAATCCAAGTAATTCAGCTTCAGTTCAAACACATTCTTACTCAAACACATTCAAATTTTACTGTGCTGTGCTCTTTACCCTTACGTGCACTCAACATCTGAACAAAAACAAGCAGTGTTCTTTTCTCACTGCAAAGCAAGCCAGTCTGAGAATGTATCATGGTCAGTAATGAAGCAAGAGAATAAAATAAACAAATTAGAAATATGAAAGGAAGAAAATCTAATCTAGTTGTTAAGAATTAAAATTAAGTACTAAGCCTAGAAAAGCCAAAAATCATGAGCTCCAGAGTTTTTCTCAAGAGATCTCTGTAAAATGGACGAGGGGTGTTGTTAACATTTAAAAAAATAGCTGAATTTCCTATGGGTGCACCATTCACAGATAATACACTAATTTATGAATCTTAAACAAAAACTTCATGAAGTCTCATTCAGAGTGAGTTGGAACCTGCAGGTTCCAATCATATTAATCAAACATACATGAAACTTGTACTGAAATGTTCTGCTTTGTGACAATTTTTTTTTCCCATGGATTTTATTGCAAGAATCTCTCCATGAAACAGTCGCTCACATTTACTCATATCAGAATTCATACAATAAAAATTCATTGAAAACATTATTACAAAAGGACATAAACCTACCATTTTTCAAGATAAACAGTAAAAGAAAGTATCTATGGAAAAAAAAAAAAGTTGAAAAGTAAAACAACAAAAAAATTCTAAGGATTATAAACATGGCTTTGGATTCCCATCTTTTCTTTTCTTTGGATCATTTCTTCATTCCTTTGAATGGCTTTGAAATATCTTAAAAACCTGACCAGATGTTTTAAAATAGGTGATTCCAATGAACTCTAACAATTCCAATTAAAACATTATATAAATAAATAAAAAAAAGAATGGTTAAATAGTGAAAAAAAGGCTTTTCTCTTGTATACACAATCTCATACCAGCTAAACTACTGATACTGCTCACGAACAATAAAAGCTTTGTTCATTACTGCTTACCCAGTTTTTTTCTGGATACTTGAGTTATGTCATCTATTGACAGGGGAGGAAGAAGTTTTTGCTGAGTTTCATTGAGACCTGGAACAATAAGATGCACTACAAAGAAAGATGAAAGAGCCATTAGTTCAAGAAAAAAAGAACAATATACAGGCTGCCCTACAGAACCAGTGGGTGTGTAGCCTGAGTATCTGAAAAATGGGTTAGTTCTGTTCTGTAACTGTTACTCCCCACTGGAGCAATGAGTGCAATTTCCCTATTTTAGTACTCAATATACTAGCACAATTTTACTACTAATTCAAATGGCAAACAAATTCTAAAGCATACAACCCTTGAGTACTGTAGTATCTTTGATATATGAACATACTATCTGGTGGGCCAAAGAAGACTCAACAACAAACGTGTGGTTAATGACTACCTGTTTGACTCACATTTGTCCATTGAAACTCATACAAAACAAACTTAAGCTAAAGTTACATAGTTTTAAAGTGGTTCCATAGTTAAGAAATTAAACACCTTCCCAAAGGCAGGAATAAACTAGTCATGAGGTGCAGTGAACCTTTCTCGTCTATTACAGGCAGTTCTACATTTACATTATATATAAATATAAGGAAAGAACTCTCAGAATCAATAAATTCACACAGATCTAATTTTCAGTCACAGAGGTGGGAAAATTAAAAATCTTCTTGTCACCTAGAATTGCTCCTGGCAGAGAAGAACTATCCGAAGTTTTTGACTGCGTCCGATTCTGAATAACTGTGGAGACAAAACAAATATGCTAGCAGACCATAACTGAAACAGGAAACAAAGACATGCCTGTGACAAATCTCAGCATTCTGAAAACCTTCTCTCAGTTTAATGCTAAGAGATGAGGACATCATCTTCGTCTTTTCTGTATTTGCATTCAGTTTAACAGTCCCTTAAAGGTGCATCTCTTCTTTTCCCTAGCACGTTAGTCTGATATATTTGATATAAACACATTATATGCTTATTTTAATATACATCCACCTCCAGCCTATCTCATTATGCTACCATTCGCATGTCTTCAGAAAAGATGTATGATGGAAAAAGCAGATATGAAGTAAGCATCAGTACAGTCTTATTTTATAGGTAATTGCTGTAATTTGTCCTCATATCAGCTCCCATTTTCCTCCTGTTCTTGAACTGTGAACTGCTTTAGAAGACTTTTTTTTTTTTTTTTTTTTTTTGTTACTTCAAGTAGTTAATTTTCAAAAATTCCAATATCATGATAACTCTCACTGCTATAGTTGCTACTAAGAAACAGGAGTTTCTAAAGGGAGATACATGTATGCCGACTGTAGATGTCTCACCCCACTGACTGGGGAAGGGAGGAGAAAGGAGGTCCATGCAGGCATAAAAAATTTGGTAACAGGAATCTTATCTATACAGTTGCATTTCAAGCTCAAACATTGAGCTGAGAGACCAAAATATCTGGACAATTCAATTGAGACAGAAAAGAATGGGTAGTAGTAGAAGAAAAAAAAAATACTGACAGCTATTCATTGACTCAAGTAAGGCATTGTTCATAATGAAAATAAGTAACTCGTGTTATTAACAAACAGGCATGAGTTGATAGTATTTGTAATTTGAGGATATAGTTGTTTCTAAAGTTCTATCCCTTCTAAAAGGAAATATTCATGACATTTACAACATAATAACAAGTTTTCCACCGCTATTAATTTTAAAGGACACTTGTAGAATATTTTAAAAGAATTCTAAACAATATACAAAATTACCTTGTTTGATTATTGTAACAGGGACCAACTTCTTATTATCTCTTAGCGTAAGCTGGAAGAAAGGGAAAAAAATCCTTGGGATAACTGCCATAATAGTAATTGAACTTTCTTGCTAACCAAAATAGAGGGCTCTGATCCAAAACCACGCCTGCCCCACATTGACACTGGATATGGCTCCGGCTGCTCTTACTGAAGGTTACGCTATTGCTTCAGTTCCCAAGGGCTACCATGGAATATAACATTTTTATCTCCTTTTTCCAGCTTAAGATGTTTTGCTTCATAAAAAACACAGTATTTGACAGCTTAGGAAATCCCAATCTTTTTTTCTTTTAAAAATCTCTTGAGCACTCACTAGGGAGTAGACCAGAAAGCTAAGAAAAACTGACATTTAGTTGCAATAAAACATCAGAAATACGTGCAATTACAAATTTGGTCTCAGGATAATTTTATACTCTCAGGAATAGTATTTTTCAGCACAAACTATTCTAGAACCAGTTGTACTCAGCACTTGTGTGTGTATTCTGCTTAAAATAAGATTAAGCCAAGAGCTGTTTTATTTGGTGAAACTGTTTACAAAGACAAATTGGCAAGCCATTTGTGTTCTCAGAGTTTTTACACTAAATAGTTGCACTTTTCTCCTAATTTGTCTTGTACTCAGATATTTTTGCTTAAGTGCAAATCTTTTTCAACATTTTGATAACTATGAAGAAGTACATGAATGAACCTTGCATTGTAAAAATAAATTAAAAAACTGATCTGCAAGATTATAAATAAGTATGCTCTACCACGTGTCATAGGATCAACTTTTGAGAGCCTGCTACTATAATGAAGAAAGGGGAAAAGGGATATTGTAAAGCAAGCAATATGAAAATGCTAAGTACATTAAAAGTGGACCTTTTTCAGCTATACCTGGTTAACAAATAAAAAAAAAAAAAATCGGAAACAAAATACCTCTCTGTGTTAAATGTACACCACTTAAAGTCAGCGTCAGTTAAAGTTTGTTTAGCACTTCATGGTAGCTGGTCTAATTCACGTGAGAACGCTTGCATGAAAATTTAGCATTTGATGACAGATTTATTTACTTAACAGTATATATTTTTGCTGTCTTCTAAACGTTTAAATCATTATAAAGCACAGGTTGAGAAGCTTTCAATACAAATTAAAAGCTTAGGAACCTGGAAGAAGCCAGATCTTAAGAAATAAGTCTTTTTCTCAGGAAAATGGACAGTGGCTGCTTATTCTATGAAAGCCATTACTTTCTGCTACCTAAAAACAAGTTTACATTGGTATGAATATGGTCAGATATTGTCATTTTCAGTCATTGTCCTTAACAAAGAATATGAAATCATTTTTTTCTTGTCACTCAGTATTTTTCCTTTAATACACATTAATAAGGCTTACCTTTCTTATTTGCCTCCTAGTGAAAAAACTGTTTCAGATGATCAACTTTTGAAGAAACCCTGCAACTTATCTGACTCACAAGTGGGAATAAATGCATATATAAGAAGCAGCTGTCCATTTTACTGTATTTCTCATCAGGAGCCTTAATAATAAAATAAATAGCTCTTGTATTCCTAGCAAACACTAGCACGCCTCCAGTGTTGAAATGGTAATCATAATTATTACCAGTCCTTTTACCAATATAGGATTCTTTCATTGACAAAAGCATACTTTCTCTGTTGAATAATAATGAATGATTGTAATGTCAGTGATATTAAAATGCTATACATTATACACGCATTAAGATAAATTCAAAATCTATCCTCTCAGATGAGAACAAATAACTGACATGAAATCCATGTTCTGCAGTTACTGTACATAAACTTTAATCTACATCAATCTTCAATTGCTGCTATTGAAATCTAACATTTTGTTGTCAATCTTCTTAGACTCTAAAAGGGTCTAATACACATGTTTCTGAAATGGTTTAGTGGAAAATTTTTCTAGACATAGAAACATCAAGATATCATGTCGTAATAGTACTCTTAATTGTATTTTCCAGCGGGAGAACATAAAGTCCGTTAGGTATTAGGAACATTAGTTCCTAACATAGTGGCAACTCAGTGGATGAAGAAGGATGACAAATAAGGTACTAATTAATTTCAGAGGAAAATTAGATTTCTAATTTTGCTATAAATCAAACATCTTAAGTTCAGATGGCACACCTAGGACATATTGCAGTTCTTCAACATTCTGTCAAATAGCATATGGCAACATGACTTATAGAGGCGCTTATTCTTTTTTTCTTATACTCCAATAACCAAAAAAGCTACAAAGCAATTGAAACACATTTAAAAGAGACTCTTCAAGCACCACAGTTGGCGTTGAGTGGATGTTTGGAAAAAACACATTTTCAAATGATAGAAGATGGTAGCTATGCTTTTTGACTGAAAAAGTCAAGGAGGAGTTCATTTTTCAGTGTGACATTATGAAACTTTAGGAACCTCATCAGACAGAAAGTAAAGAAATTTCTTCTGTTTTCTTTCCACCCTACCACCTCTCATTGTTTATGAAGAGAAAAAACAATGACTGTCCCCCTTAAGGTCTCTTTTTTTCCCCCTCCCTTTCTGGTTGTAGCTTACGCAGCCCCAGGAGCTTAGTCAAACTTTGTGGATGAACCTGCCAAAAGAAACACAAGCTGATATTTGACTGATGTTGAAAGTGGAGGATGACTAGATGAAATGGTAATGCTGCCTTAATAAACAGCCTTTAAAAATGTCTCAGTGAAGAGAAGAAATAGAACCATACTCAAACAATTCATTTGTGTCTTTGGAGCAAAACAAGGCATAAACAAATCTTGGACTAAATAACAGTTATTTTGGCTTTGTACTGATGATATGATTGCGTCACTGAGAAATACTCCACCTAACGCTGTGGAAACTGAACTAATAACATAAATTCAAGAATTGGACACCATCAGCTTAGTTTTATGACTTAGTTTTTTGTACCACTAAGTGAGAGTGGTAAGTGAATTTTTGGAATAATGTGTGGAATGTTTTCATGATATTTATGTGGAGCTTGATAAAGCCGTACCAGTCTTGATCTGAGCTTTGTGAAGCTGACTAAAAAGACAAGATGTTGGCTCCAGCTTTGCTTTCATGCTTAAGTTGTGCAAATATTTGGAAAACTGTTTTAGCTCATTTTCTCAGGACTTCTCTTTCATAAATAGAATATCTGCTCCCACAGCTGTGTCCTAACAAGGTTAGGGTCTTGACACACAGGAATAAAGGAACATAGCTTTCATACCGGATACCAGAATGTATTACCTGGTCTTAGGCTTTCACATACATCTTTAATAAAGTTTACAGGGCCAATGGGAAAAACAGCACAGTTGATTTAATCAACAACATAGTGAAATGAGCACCTTCTTGAATATGTATTCAACCGGCTTCACATCACTGACAGATAAAACATCTCTTGAATGAGAGACATGACTGTTAATGCAAGTGCTGGATGAGAAAAAACTAAGGAGATTAATAATATTGGTTTGATGAAACAGTTAAAAATTCTACCTTCCCACTTGCAAGGATTTAGTGAGCTGCACACCCTTCTCGATTAGGAAACTAAATTGCCCTTTTCAGCTTTCTCTGGTTCAGTAAATGCTTGCCTCACATACAAGAGAGATCAATTAATTCAGAGAGTAGACTAATGTTTTCAGTACACAGAAGATTTCTCTATGAAGTAACAGCACTAACTTATCACAAAATGAATTATTTGCAAGTATAACGTTGACTGTAGAAAATTCTTGGATCAGCACAAATATCACAGATTAACAAACTTGTCTGCTGCAAAGGGGAAAGCAAATTTCAATGTTAAGAGTCTATGTACTTAAAAGACTCTCTCTTTGTTAAACCGGTATCAGTAGCTCTAAGCAACTCAGCTACCATTCTTAACTTATCAGTCCACATTCTCAATTTTATCAGTCCACACTTCTAAACATTTCTACATGCAGTTACCAACTTTGAGATTTAACAGGTTTTTCATGTTGACATTTGTGGCTGTCAGCTCTTTCTCATTTTACTTAACAGAGAAGCAAAAATTTGACAATGCAAAATACAAAACTAATATAAAAAATAATACTATTTTTGCTTACCTGTGACTGGGTACTAGGTACCAATTTGTACATATTCTGGAGTTGACCATTTACTTTCTTACCTGATTTGAGAGAAAGAAAAAATAAATACACACTATCATTTTTTGTTTTCTCCAAGGAAATCAAATCAAGTTTTATCTGGATTTTTCAATAGCTGGGAAATTAATTTAAAGGGTGAAAAAATTTCAAATGTGTGAAAATATACCATGTAACTGTTTTGTTCATGCTTGTTTTTCCTGATTTTTTTTTTTTTAATTAATTAATTGATCTACAAAGCCTCTTCTTTGCATTTTGACAAGGAGAAAATGTTTCAGTTGTACCACAGAGGTAAGAAAGACTGAATAGTCTTTGGGGGCTTTTTATGGGGAAGACAGATTTTTAAATAACAAACACCACCAATATGCAAGGAAGAGACTTGAAAGAGGAAGAATTTCTGCAGTCTGTCAGGCTGGTACTCATGGTTTGAAGTAACATACTGTAAACTCTTCAGTAGTTTGCACTTCAAATGTATCCATCCAAAAGAAATATATGTTCAGCTCCAGCAGTATAGAGCAAATATATAATTTCTCTTTGGATCTGACATGTTTTCCTTTGTCTCAATATCTGATCAAAATAACTCACGAATTGGAGTCTCTAAACTTTTTCACTTTGGGTTTTTTCTCTTCTTAGAATTAGAAGCTTCTTGTGATAAACTGAAAATATACAAGAAAAGAATCTCTTTTCCTCATCTTTTATATCCTAATACAATGCTTCAAAATTTGTCTACATATTTTGCCTTTGGATTGTTCTTTGAGTCAACAAACCAATAAGCAAAAATCAAGGTAATAGCATGCATCTTCACAAATCCATCCAAAATGAATAAGCGATAGAAAAAATATCAACAGAAAAATGAGTTAAGAGACATTTAAGTAGACATGCTATCATGCAGAATCTTTCAAAGTGCTTAATATTTGTCAGGAACAGGATCTACTGCTGGCATGAAGACAAATATTTCACAATGATTTCATGACAAAATCATGTTAAGATGGTCAGAAATAATCAACTTTCATCTCTTTTGGTAAATTTTCATTCAATAAATGTTGAACATTTGCCATGCCTTTTATGTCTTTCTCAAATCATGAATCACAAAAAAAGATTATCTTCCCAAACCCTCTCAACATGTGGCCTGCAGATTTAACAAATTCAGGAACATGCAGCAGTAATACCAATTTAAAATAATTAATATATTCTTTAGTGAGAAAAAAAAAATGTTTACGGTGAAGGAAATTTCTGAATATATGAAAAGACTTTCAGTGGCTGCAAGGCAGTCTACGATAAATCAGAAAAAGTGGCAATTTGTGCTGATTGGTAAACTTCTATATAGACAGATGGCAGTAGATTTAGAATGTTCACTCTATTTACTGCTCAAAATTTCTCCATCTACCTACTATGAACTGACAACATGAAGGGCTTGAATCTGAAATATGCAGCCAGCTATCTGATTAGAACACTAACGTTTGCTGAAATCAAGTACCTTGGATATGTAAAGAATAGTGCTTGTATCAACAAACCAGAGTGTAGTCATCCAGGATAAGAGCAGGCCCTCCATATTTAGATGCTGCAGAAGCACTCACTGACTACACTCCAGAAAAAAGAAATCTCACCTATAAAGTATACAAATTCTTATGGGATTATATCTTTCAACTCAACTCAGTGTGCCTCCCTAACTGAATGATCCTTCCAGCATGTTAAAAAATGCAACATGCATAAGAAACCAGAGTTAGAAAAGACCTTCCATATAAACAGCAAATTTAGTGATAGCAGTGTACATATTTTAATCACAGTCTTGAACACAGTCCTAAACTATAAGCACTACGCACTTTTTATTTCCTTTTAAATATTCAAATATATTTCAGCATCTGTTCCATAAATTCCTTGGTAAAACAGCCATTTATTAAGCCTTCTTCAATCTGTTAAGCAAAGCAATTCTTGTGAGGTGGGTATGGGAAAAGAGTATTCTGCACATTAAGTTCATGGTATAATTATGGCATTGTTTTGGATTCCCAAAATGACTCTACAGGCACTGGGCAGGTACCATAAAGTTCAGCTTTCTAACGTATGCTGAAGGCCATAGATAAGTTTTTGAGTATAGTGTATGTGGAATTTTGCAGTGCTCCAAGGCTCTGCTTCCTTATCCTCATTATGTTAACTTGCTTGCAACATGAAACTGAAGTCAAAATAAAATTTCAGATGGAAATCTCACATGAATAAGGCTCTATTATGAGAATTTCCATTCTTCCTGCGTCAGGGAAACTATAAATACTGAGCTTAGGAGTTTGAAGCATCTTCTGACAAACATCATGCTCAGAAATGTCTTTAATTAAATTACTGAGGAAAATTCAGATTGGAAAAAGTATGTTCAATCTTTTTTGAGGTGACAGACTTCTTCTCTGGCCTTCTTTAAAAGGAGAAAGACTCAGCTGCTGCATAGTTCTTCCATTGACAGCAGTGATTCTTTGAACAGTACATGGTTTTTCGGTGGTTAATTGATGTTACTTTGCCTGCACTTTCCGAGGACTTCGTATAAAAAAAAAAATTAAAATATAACTGTGTGAACATCCAAAAATGCCATATCCTGTCTCCATGAAGACTCAAACAAAGACACACATTAGAACGTAAGTTTCCTACGAACACAATTTATATAATTCCTTGACTGAAAATTAACTTCAAATTGAACTTTTCTGAAGAGTCATAAGGGGCCCATTTTGATGTATGCTGGCTAGGACAAGCTCTTTCTAGCTTTTCACCAGCTTAAATTTATAAGCAGAACACTCAAACAAGAATAATACTTTCCATCAAATCAGATTAGTAGAGATCTTACTACTCTAGGCCCAAAGAAAAAGCTTGGAATCCAGTCAGATATACAAATATGTGGACAACGGTTGGTGTGTATCTACCTGAACTGTTACACTTCTATCAAACTGCAACAGATTCTCTATCATTCACAATTAAATGAGAACATCTTTCAAATAAGTAGATAATATTTTTTTCAAAAACAAACTATTTCTACTTTCACCAATTCCTAAGAAAATTTATTAGGGGCATGCAGGTGGCATTAAAACAATGAAAAACTGATCAGTAGTTTCTTTTGAGCTCTATCACAACAGAGGAAAAAATGCTGTCAAAACTATTATCTATTAGATATTTACTAGAAAACACTTACTAGACAGAACTGTTTTATGATTTAAAGTCTTGCTCCAGATGCTATCCTCCATGTTGTCCTTAACTCCAAATTCATAAAGTGTGTTTGGCTTCAGATTGTCCACCACTGTTTCTGTAACTGGGCAGAGCTGAAAAACCCATTTCTTGTCTTTATCCTTTTCTCTATAGCGAACAGTGTAGAACCTGCTCAACAAAAACAAGTTTTTCTTCAGAAAAAAACTCACTGCAATCATTTGTGTTATTAATTGCCAAAATGACTTATACTAAATATTGCTTTTGTTCTTTTAGGTCCCTTAGAGTTACCAAATATCTGAAAAGACAGCGAACAAACATAATGTGAGCCTCATCGTTTTCCAGATACGTACATATTCCTCTTCACACAGGACCCAACATCACTAGTAGTATATATAGAGAAAAAAAAAACAGTCTCATTAGTTATGAACATCTACATGTTATGCTAAGCAGAAGCTACAAGCTTATTTTACAAGTAGTTTCTGCAGTTCTGATATATGCTGGAACAAGTCAGTTGAATGGACGTATGAGTCTATTCATTAGTGAGCCTCAACAAATTTCTTAGAAACTTCTGCATCTCTCCGTGGTAAGGTGTTCCCCCTAAAACTAGCCCAAAAATATTCACAAGGGGAAGAAAAAATAATAGTTGACATTTACATAATACATTTCTCATCCAGTGTTCTCATATATTGCCCACCCTTTGAACAAGAAAGTAAACTAAGACATTACTTTCTGCAGTTAAAGTCAGTGTGATGAATACTAATGGATTATAAAATTAAAAAGCACGTCCACCGAAATTACTCAATTAAACCAAGCAGCACCACCCTGAAAAAGTATTACTGTAATACTAATCAGAATAAAACAATACAATGTAAATGCTGAGTTATGGTACAAGCACTCTACTGCTTGCTAGTATCCTTTTCAATATACAGACTGTATCATTGCCAAATTAGTGTGTGGTTTTCTGTGGTTTTGTTTGTTTTGTTGTTGTTTTTAATATCGGAGATATTTAGTAATTATTCAATCCAAGTATTACTGAGATTTGTTTCACATACTGTAAAACATCAATCTTACACTGAAAAGGATGAATTCCATCCAGCTGTTTTTTTCCTGGTAGTGGCTTCTGGAGAAGAAAATTAAGGCCAAGAAATAAATGGAAATTCAAAACCCTGCTACAAGCCTGAGAATAACTCAGAAACAAAAAGAAAAGGAATCTGAGTGTAAGGTACAAATAAAACAGATATTCTGTGGAAAATATAAGGTGGTAAAAGAAGGGACCTTAACAAAACAATCAAAAACATTTTTAATACACTGAAAAATGTATCAAGTTTTCAGGTCCAGATTAAAATTACTTAATATGCCAACAAAAACTCTGTAAATGCATAAACTTCCTTTTACCAAATGTACAGATGGGCACTCCAAGAGTAGAGTATACATGAAAGGTGACTGCAGAGCATAGGGAAATCCCTGCTCAATTATTAAAACACAAACTATGACAAGAAAATGGCCAATCATGGAAAATACTACCACAGTTGACAACTGATTTTGCTACATGTTTTAGGAAAGGGGCAATTCTTCTGGATTTCCTGAAACACAAACAAAACATCAACTCTGACCACTCCATCATGACACTAATTATGTTGAAGGTTCAGTCTTCCAGAGTCAGGCCATAGAAGGCAACAACTTTTCTCCTGCAACATGATAATGCCAGGCAGCAGATTACTTCAAAGAACACTGTTAATCTTAGCTGCAGTCTTCTGCTACAACCACAGTATAGTCTGCATATGGTGCCTTCTGAGTTCTATCTGTTCAAGTCAATGAGCTATGCAGGCAATATTTTCCTAGCAATGATGCTGTCATAGCAGCTGTGAAAGTGTGGGGCAGTTTTGCTAGTACAAATTTTTATGAGCACAGCATTTGAGCTTTTGTTAATCACAAAACATGAAAATGCATACCTAATGGCGACGACTATGCCAAAAAACAGTGTTTTGTAGCTGAGAATTCACTTCATCAAACAGTGTTATTGTACTCTTTGTATCTGTTGGTGTTTTCAAGACAATAAATAGGAGGCAGTACTTTCAGAGTGAACCATATACCCACCCACACAAATGCCCTTATACATCAGGTTCTGGAACTTGAAAGCAGGCAAATGACAGTGTGAATAAAGGTCTATCTAGGTTGGATGAGTCATCTAGGACTAGACAGCCTGACCCCCATATCACAACCCTGTCAGAACTCAAAAAGTGTTTGTATAATGCTCTCAAACATAGAGAGCATTATACATAGGGTTTGGATTTTAGGTGGTCCTGTGTGGAGCCAGGAGTTGGACTTGATGATGTGTCCTTTCCAACTCAGGATATTCTTTGATTCCATGATTGCAATAAAGAAAAAGATGATGCTGATGCTTGCAAACCAGATGTAGATGCATTCTTAAGGTGGTGCACAATTTTTTTTTTGTTTGTTTTACACTGCTGAGTTGTATGGAGCTTAACAGGAAGTAAATGAAGATCAAAATACTCTTTTGTCATAAAAGGAAGAATACAAAAAGAATACTAAAATCACAGGGAAAACATATAAAGCACCTTCAAGAGTACCTGCAAATACATGTTATCAACTGCTAAAAGTTTTCAAAAATGTAAGATTGCTGTTGTCTTTGAAGCTAACTAGCATTGTGATTTTCTTAACACTCTCACTTTGGAAGACTTCCCAAGCACATTCATTAAATAATCACAACAAAACAAATACTGTAATATAAGAGAACTTCTACTTAAAATAGAAAATTAATGAAAGCTGTACTCTTATAGAAATATCAGTGAAGTAGGGAAGTGATAAGACAAAACATAGAAAGTAAAAATGAGATAGTATTAAAATAAGGTGCCATTCTCCTATTAAAGCACAACAAAAGCCGTATTTTACTTCTATTTAGCCAACTCTAAATCAACATATTTCCTGTCATTGAACAACGTTTCTTCCAATTTATTCAAATGCAAACAAAGGTAGAGCCAAGACCACTGCTGTAAGAACAATAAAGGATCTATGGTGAAACAGTAAGATCTGTACTTCAAAACATAGGCACCTGACTAAATTTGCTATCAAGACAGGTAAAGGCTTGCTAAGCACTAACTTAAGTAAAGAAGAAAACTTCACAGTCAGAACTAATGCAGTGTTTTAATTTACACTGTCATTTTTCTTCAGCTATGCTGGTTAACAACCTGCACAGCTTCAAGGTTGAAATGTCACATTAAAACATTATCACTGCAAAAGCTGTTTTCTGTTATTTTACCTGTCGCTAGCACAGTTACTTGTTGCTGTCCAGTCATGCTGAGGGTTGACTAGGATGCCCCAAGAGAGGAACACAGAAGTTGGGGTGAGAGTGCCAACTACCAGCTGCAGAGGCTTTTGATTCTTGTTCCGACCTAGGTAAGAAACATGTAATTCCAATTGTAAGTTAGTTTCTCTTGCATTATGTAGGGGAAAGATTTTGCATTTGGGTAGTCAAATAAATGAAGACCTACTTCTCTTCTGAATTTCAAGGAAAGGGATCAACTGTTATCAGCATTTCTAAAATATTGTCTAAAAATGGGGTTGGAGGGTGTCTCTGACCTGCTTGTTGGCTTCTCATTGAAGCAAGCAAAATATCTGAAAGAAAGAGACTGCTCCTTTTCTGAAGCTAGCTGAGCATGAATAGAATAAAAAAGTGCAGTATGAAGTTCACAGAAAGGAAGGGAAGATACATATAGAAACCAACAGGAAAAGAATTTGGGAGAGTGCTTAAAACAAACAGGCATTGGACACACAATCAAGCTGAAAAGGCAACTTAAAGAGGAGTTTTATTAGGTTCTCCCTGAACTTACACAGAATGTATTTAAACCTTGGAAAATACTGGGATTTTTCACTTCCGGACTTGCAGATTCAGGGTAAATCAAAAAGAAGTAACACATCTTACTATTATTTTGTGAGCAGAAAAGATTAATTTACAAAACTTTAGAACAGTTTTGCCTTACTGCAAGTTTTCTTTATGTCTCATTTTTGAGACTATGAAAACTTTAATGCTTATTTTTTGTATTATTAGTATATACATAATTCAGATTATTAGAAGGTTCCTCTTTCTGTGTGACAGGAAAAAAATGTGTTTTCTTGGCAGGATTCCTACTAACACAACAGGTGTGTCCACAGATTTATACTGTTGACAGCACTTTCCATCAAGAATAAAATAAGACCAACAAAAATTCTATTGTTTTGAATTGTAGGCAGATCTGAATTGGTGTCTGTAGGACATTTTTGTTTTTTAACCACATACTACATTCAATATACTTACATTTTGGGTGATACTTAGATTAAATTTGCTCTGAATGAAGAAGCACAACTATCCATCACATGGAAAAACCACTTTATTCACATGATGCTCAAAAGCTTTTAAATACTTTCAGAAGATTTTCCAACAAATAGTTGGAAATGAAGAAGTGATCTAGAGAAAATATTTTGGACCTATGGTTTATGGACTGCTACAACCCAATCAGAACTTTAGTTCCTTAGTTGTATGAAAGAGGACGAATGAAAGGAAATTCATATATTCTTTGTATCATTTGCTCATACTTGAAATATCTGATTGATCCATAACTCCTCAAAATATACACATGACCATAAGTTCCCCAAAAGTTTAAGCCACTGAAACAGTGATTTCTTTTCATGCCTTTTGATTCCTAATATCTCTTCACTCAACAAAAATCTGATCTGTACTTTCAACCAATGCATGTAGGTGCATTTAAACTTCTTAACTGAAATTTTTTCTGTAATACTCTAATTTTCAATTCTCATTTGCAGAACTTTTTACAAGAACCGTCTTCAGGTATTGTACAACCTTCATGTTTTTAACACCACGTTCATAACTAACTACTGTCTGGGAAGTATTGGTATGCATTTTGCCTTCCCACGCATCTCAGTAAGTCACCTACAGTTACAGATACATTTTGTAAGTAGTAAAAACAGGATATTATCTTCCTCAAAACGACTTGAAGAAAGAGATTCAGTAGTGCTCAAATACCTGAACAAGATTTCTTGTTATTTGAAACACGTGCTGGTCTCACTGAAACCAAATACCGTGGCTCTGCATCTATAAATGAAGAAAGAATTAGTATAGATTTGACATTTATTTGAGACAGGGATTAACCTATAATTTATTAAGAAAAAGTCCAATATTCAGTGAAGATTTGATATCCAATTTTAAGGGTCTTTAGGCACATTTTCTTCAAAGTTTACTCAAAAATAATTCAGAAATATTCTAGCCACTACTTCAAACTCTTCTTAAATATTATATGTTAGTTTATATTTTAAAATGAATTTTAAAAATTGTTTTAAAATAAAACAAAACCAACAAAACTTAAAGTAATATTTCCTCATGCTATGCATTCATGACTGTTTGGGAGAACATTCCAATTCTCACAATGTGCTAAACAACATGACTATGAGGACTGGTCCAAAAGTAATATTTCCTATTTTATTACATTGGCCCACAACATCAGAGGTGGATGCTGGTGGTATGGCTGTAGAGGGTGAATCTTCCCACCAATATTCCCCCACATTTTCTTGATATGTGACAGGTGGGGCAGAGGGGCAAGATGTCAAAATGGCAACTGAAATGGCAGTGGTGTGCCACTGAATTCCTCTGTGCAGAAAAAAATGGCACCCATTGACATTCATGACGCTGAATGCTGATGGAGATCAAACACTGGATGTAAGCACAGTGAGGCTGTGGATGGTGTGTTTCAGCAATGGTGACAGTGAAGTGAAGATAAACCATGCTCTGGATGGCCATGTACAGCTTCCATATCCATGAAATGCAGAATATCTCAGTCAGCTCATCCACATGAATTTATGGGTTACGACCAGGGAACAGTACACAGAGCTGAATATTGGCTTTAATGCATAGGAAATGACAGTGGCAACCTTTGAACATTGCAAAGCTTTCACCATAAGTGTCCCAGGAATTCTCACACAGGAACAGAAATAACACTGTATGCAAGCTTGCCAGGACCTACTGAACCAATACAAGGTTGAAGGTGACAGGTTCCTGGATCACATCATTAGCAGTGAAGAGATGTGGTGTTATCATTGTGAGCCGGAGTCAAAACAGCAGTCCACAGAGTGGCAATATGTGAATTCTCCATTGAAGAAAACGTTCAAGATGCAGCTCTCAGTGGGTACAGCAATGTACACTGTCTCTGGGGATTGGAAAAGGACGATCTTTCCAGATTTCCTGAAAAGACTCAAATTTCCATATTCAGGCAAGAGAATAAGACAACCTTTTGCTTGCAACATCATAACACCAGGTGCCAGATCATTTTAAATACTGAGGAATACATTGCCAATCTTGACCAGATTGTCCAACCACAGTATAGTCTGTATTTGGTGCCTTCTTAATTCCATCTGTTCAGACCAATGAAAGACTGGTGGTGTGGGCAACATATTCATAACACCGTGATAGCAGCTGTGAAAGAGTGGGTTTGCCTCCAGGGTGCAGATATTTATGAGCACATTGTGCTGGCTCTTGCTCATTGCTGGCAAAAAAAGCTAATGGTAGTAGTGCTCATGCTGAAAAATAGTGTTTTGAAGCTGAGAATTCCCTCTATCAAATATTGTTATTGTGCTCTTTGTAGCTGACGTAGTTTCTAAGAAAATAAATAGGAGGCAGTACTGTCAGAGTAACTGACATACAATATCATTAGTTCTGACCAACATTTTCAAACCTCGTAAATTACAAAAGTCACTCTTCAGAATTTGTAAAATTATATATCCAGTATACAGTAAGTACACGTGTGGTCTTGTAAGAGTTGAAAATATTCTAAATGATTAATCTTTACAGAACTACATGAACTTGAACAAGTTTAGTTTGAAATATATTTACAAATTCAATACCAAATTCTTCCAGCTTTCTTGCATTTAATGCCTTCTTGATGAACTGATACTAAAAGATGAACATTAGAGATCTGTTAGAACCTGCTAAGAGCCCACTATTAAGGTTGGAGTGACAAACACCATGGTTAGCAGATTGTTTCAGCTGTCACACAACTGTTTCTGTACAAACCCCTTGAAACTGCAAATCGAAAGTCCAAATAGTGACAGGCTTAAGTCTTCAGTAGGAAAATGACCAGTTGTGCCAGATGATTACTAATCAACAAATCCATGCTTAATTCTTAGTGTTATAGTTCTCCATTTTTTTTAGTTTTTATTTTTAAATTTTTTGGTTTTGGTAATTCATTTGGGTGGCTCCAGTATGTCATCAGTATTGCTCTTTCAAGTTTAACTACTCACAGCTGAATAAAGCAGTGCCAGTTTGGAGCAAAACGCTACACTCAGACGGACACGTACACTCAAAAAAATAACCTCTGCAGTAGGAGGGAATCCTACTCACAGACTAGAAGCACCAGGATGTGTAAAACACTGGGAATTCTATCTATGGCATTCAATACATAGAGAACACACCTGCGTATACATTCAATACATATTCTTAAATCTGTCATTTCTTTTAAGCACCACACCTATTACAGCTCAATGAACCATCGCCAGGTAAACGAAATACTTCTCCGAACAACTCCAATGACTCAGTATTTTTTTCATTCAAGCAGCCTGAAAGATGCATGTGCACGCTACACCTACCATTGTGTCTACAATTTTCTACAGAAGAAACATTTCAAGGACTGCTAAGTTCACAGAATTAAACCAATACTTTGGCAACATTATAAAAGAAAAAAGCAACTGTTTGACTAAGATTCTGTGATATTCATGATAAAAAAACTATTAAATAAACTTTATTACCCACCTCAACAGCCTGGAGAGACAACCAGTCTTGAGGAATATAATGAAAACGCGTGTCACTAATCCAAACTAATATAACAATTCTATACACCGTGAGTTATGCTTTCTAACTAGTGACAAGTCCTGAATTAATGCTTACTTAATTTAAGCTAAGTACTGATCTAGCAGACATCCCTGAATTACACTTTTTAAAATGTGTTCAAGGAGATATTAGAATTCTTCCCTTTTTGCATGTAAATTTCTTGCACAAATTACTACATTTGCTACAAGATGGAACTGCCAGCACATTCTCCTCATCACTACACAGTCTGCTTCAAGTAAAGGAAAGGCTAAACAAAGTGGTCCAACTTGTTTCTTTGAATGCATTTTGTTCAGATTTTAGCTAATTGCTAATTGCTGTCCATTCTTGTGAAATTTCATTGTCTCCATCCAATTTTTTTTGGTTCCTCCAAAAGTAACAATACATTCAGGGAGACTGACTTTATTGTCTTCCTAACCGAGTTAGATCAAACTAGTGTAAAAATCTCAAGGAAATATTCTTTGTGAGTTGTGAAGACTGAAGAGATGTAGATGAAAGTCTAAATGAAGCTCAGAACATTTGGATGGGTCTTTTCACCCTGCTTATTAGTCTATCTGAATTTAAATTCTGAAATCTTTTGACACCATCCATTTAGCTTGCTTGACCAACAATAATGTCATTTACTATCATGTAAGCTTGTGAAGTATCATCAGCACCAAAGAAAACACATCTTGCACCCTGATACTTCTTCATATCAAACTTTAATGCTACCTCACCGTTGTCATTTACACTTCAGGTTAATTCAAACTGAGCTGTCTAGCAGCTCAATAAAGCTGCTCAAGAGTTTATTGGCAGCATGAGCTCATTAAAAGTTCAGGAAATCCAACAGAACTCTTCTTTTTTACATACTATGTGCAGGCAATTCCTAATTCATGGATGTATTACACAATTACTGGCTCAGTTATCAGTTTAGCTGCAGTGTAGTTTAATGGGATGAAGTTCAGTGAATCCAAGTGCCAGGTCCTGCATTTTGGCCACAACAACCCCAGGCAGTGCTACAGTCTTAGGCAGAGCAATTGGAAGACTGTGCACAGGAAATGGATGTGGGGATGTTAGTTGACGCTCGGCTAAATATGAGCCAGCAGTGTGCTCATGGGGTCAACAAGACCAATGGCATCCTGGCTCATATCAAAAATAGTAGTCAGCAGGAGCAGGGATGTGATCGTCCTTCTTGAATACTGTGCTCAGTTTTGGATCCCTCACTACAAGAAAGACACCGAGGCCATGGAGTCTGTTCAGAGAAGAGCAACAAGGCTGGTGAGGAATCTGGAGCACAGATCTTATGGGGAGTGGCTGAGGGAACTGGGATTGTTCAGCCTGGAAAAGAGGCCCAGGGCAAATCTTATTGTCCTCTACAACTCCTTGAAAGGAGGTTGTGACAAGGTGGGAATCAGCCTCTTCCCCTAGTTATCTAGTGATAGAACTGGAGGTAGTGGCCTCAAGTTGCACCAGGGGAGGTTCAGGCTAGATATTAGGAAAACCTTCTCTGAGAGAGTGATCAGTTGTTGGAATGGCTTGCTCAGGGAAGTGATTGAGCTACCATCCCTCGAGGTGTTTAAGAAGGTTTGTAGATGTGGGGCTAAGGAATATGGTTAACGGGCAACACTGGTGGCAGGTGGATGGTCAGACTAGATGATCTTGGATGTCTTTTGCAATCTTGATGATTCTATTATTCTATGCAAAAGAAAAAAACAAACAAACAAAATTATTTTAAGAGAAGAACCACTCCAAGGAGGAGCTGAATATTGTAGTAGATGAACTGAAAGTGGATGTCACACTTTCTACAAAGACATGTGATTTTCCTGGAAGTGAGAAAGACCATATTCTCATTTATTTACTTCAAAATATATAAACATACCTCTGTGATCTCATAAAATCACAAAATTAAATCTTATTGACTTTAACATTAACAGAATCACCAAGGTTGGAAAAGATCTCCAAGATTATCTGGTTCAACATCCACCTACCACCAGTATTTTCCCTTTAAACCATGTTCCTTGACAATGTTAATACTATCAAATCAAGATTCACTTCTCTATAGACAGAGGAAATCCATTCTCCCAGATCTAGTCATGCTCTCACAAAACAGTGTTCTATAGTAATATTCCCCTATCCTGCTGGGGAAACATACCTTCTGGTTACCACCAAATGCCCTTGAATATCCAATTCTAATCTTTATTTTTCAGCAACTAAACCAGTTTAAAGTTGTAGTCAGCTTCAGTCTCTAAGGCTATCAAGAAAGGTCTTCTCTATCCATGAACTACTAAAACTGGCAAGTGAGAAAAAACCTTAAATTGTGCTAGTCTTGGTCTAGACAGGCCACAACATCTTTTCACATTTGGAATTCACTCCTATCATACTGTTTAGAAGGAGCTGTAATCAATCACTTTTCAGTGCAGCCTGTAAATTCCATCTGTTTTCTGTAAAAGTGGTTAAGCTGAAGCATGAGAGGACTGAGAGAGTTGTTGGACTAAATGTGAATACCTTTCTAGAAGCCTAACTCGTTTTGTGGTGGGGAAAAATGTTTGGATCACAGCCTTTGCAAAGCGTACAGTACCATCTGAATGACTAGAATATCTAAAACATAGGATAGAAAATATCTGTGGGGTGAAATTTAAAAAAAAAAATAAAAAAAAAATCAACAAACGCCAACAACCAAACCAACCAACCAAACAATAATAAAAATGCTTGTTTTAATATGAAGATAGAATACCAGGGTAATTTCATCACTTGAGATGTTCCAGACGCACAAGAAGTAACCAAAGATTTTCAACAATATGGCCTAGGAGTTCTTGTACCTTTGGAAAGTGTCTTGAGAATATTAATATTGCCCCTCTACCATATCTTGGGTTTTTTCCAGCATTCACATAAAGCAGTGTCTGATCTCTGAGTGACAGAATTAAACCTATCCACAGTTCCTAAAACTAAGAACCATCCTGGAAGCACCCAGTCCCTGAAATTATGGGAGGTGCTAGCAGCCACTAATGTCTTCTGTTTAACTCTGTTGTATGTCATTCTAAAACAGAGCCAAAAGCACAACAAAGGTTTCTTCTTTTAGCTCAAGTTCTATATTCATACACTAGCATACCCAATGCTGCTGTTTAATGTTGTGTTAGGATTAATGCAGTGGGAAATATGTTGTGTTCTCTGCTTCCAAATTCCCTGAACAAATATACTAAGCATGTAATGTAACACTAAAACTTGTAACTAAAAGCAATATTTTTAACAAATGTACTGTTAATTGCTTTAAACAAATGTTTGAAACTTAAAATACATACCTATTACTGTTAGTATCTTTTATTCCTTTCCTATCAAAGATGACATTTTCTTCAAGTTGGAAATGCAAGCAGTACTAACAGATTGCATTTTTAGCTATTAGACGTTTAGAACTTATAATCAGGTTTACTGTAACTAGAAAACTTACTAACAATTTTTATTAGAGAGAATTACATTTTTGATATTAATCTCCTTTAAAATAATTAAGACAGTATTACTCATCACTTGTGCCTTTCTCTTATATTGTGTTGGATTGTCCAGATACACTAAAGAAAATGTTTTAGTTTCAATAGAGGGGGTACATAGAATGGTGTTTCTCATCTTCAAGATTTTTCATTACTTCAAGATATTGATTGCTTAACTGTAAGATTAATGAATATGCATGCAGCTAGCCACTCCACTGGACTGCAGAACCAAATAAAGGTGTCTACAGTTCCTGTCACTAGATGTTAGTATGAAAGTTAACAAGAACCAATATGTTCCAGGTGACATTCAGCTTTAAGTTTTCATATGGTTTCACAAATCATTAGGTAGTAACACCGGTATTAAATGGAGAGAAGGGCAAACTATCTACATGTGACTACATTCAGAGCTTTTTCCTCTTTCCATGGATCTCACAGTATGTGAAAAATACTAACTCCCACTCTTCCTGTAATACAGCTATGCGGGTATTACTCATACCCACTTCTACAGAGAAGCCCGTACATCATTTCTACTGAGCTGTGTTGAAAGTTGCACATGGCATACATTAGATTCGTACAGGTTAAGTGATGTTTATTAACTCAAACACTGATAAAAGTACAGAAAGATCACAGAAATAGCAACTCATGAAAAGGAAGAAGTCAACCTTTTCCAGAGAAATATAATGAAGATTCTTAGTAATTATTCTATGTCTAACATCTTATTTGTCTCCTTTCCTATACTATAATTCTCAGCCTGGAGCACACATCTAGAATCGCCTTGATTTACCACATTAAAAACAATGCAACTGATACTTCTACATTTATGCATGCTTTCTCTGCTCTCTTTTACACAAAGAACACTGACATTGCAGTGATGAGGGTAACAGATGATTCTGGATTCATTTCAGGCTAGGGAAGATTAAAGAAAGCAATAGGGAAATTCTCAGACACTGGACAGATTTTTGATAATGTAAAATTCTAATAAATCAATGTTTTATAAGAAAATTACAACTGATCCAGTTCTCCTTGTTTGCTATTCTATCGATACTGACAATCCAGGGTTAAAAAGACAACCTAACTTAATCTTTGTTTCCTGTTCCAGTTAACAAAATACAAGATTTCCAATGCATTTTAAACTCTTCCTTACAACAACTCACAGAATTCTATTTGTAACATCTGACACAGAATGTACAGGTTATTCTGCAACATGTGCCCTTACAAGAAAATGCATCGTTTTGTTATAAACATTTCCATTAAAGTGAATCAACCACACAATACTTAAAATTGTTTTATTTCTGCTTCTTTGCTACAATAGAAACATAAACATTTCCCATGTACATAACTGCAGATTTATGCAAATCGTCTCATACTATCTGTAATGCAGTCAATAAGAGTTCATTCTTTCAGGATTAAAAATTCCCCCAAGTGAAAATCCTCAAATATAAATAACAAGCTCTTCCAAACAACAAGAACTTATTTTTTCTCCCTAAAGGAACACTGTGATCTGAAATTCTTCCCAAACTAACCTTAAACACACAAAAAAAGCCAAAGCAATACCCCAATAAAAACACAAACTAAGAAACCCAAAGATTCATCATTTCATTGGTCTGTTTCCACATCATGACAACAGTAACATGGAAAGGAATAATACTTTACCAAGTTCATTTATGTAGGTGCTTCCATCTGAAGGTAAAGGAATGTACTGATTAGAGAAGAAGCTGCTTCCATAACCCAGGACAAAACCTTCAAGTTTGGTGTTTTGGCTTGGTCGAAGATACCTCATGCAAACAGTGTCATCTGTTGCATTGATCTGAACTTTCAGACTCTGTCTTTTCACTACAGAAAGAGAAAAAAATAAGAGAAGAACAAAATGTATTTTCTTGTAATTACGTATTTAGTAACAGAATATCACATTATAGCAACATAAGACCATTCAGTTTGTTAGACGCAAACAAACAACTGTTTGAAGGTAGATTCTCATGGCAATTCAGTGTGTTTTAGAAAACAAGCTGTTACATTTAATTGTGGTTTCTAACATGCCTACTTTTTTCCCTTCATCAGTTTAGTAATATCATTAGCAGCTTATACAATTGTAGAAATATAAATGAAGTAATCAGAAAAAAATTAAACATCTTTTCCTTTAAACATAGGAATTATAGCAGTAATTTAGGATCCAGAGATAACAAAATGGCAAGTCAGGAGATCATTCTCTTCTGTAAGCAATAAAATAAAATAAAACAAAAATTGTAAGGATGCTATAGCAGTAAGACTTATTGCAAAATTAGAGGATGAATGGTAACTGCGTCTGAATAAAAATGCTACAGCAGTTAGTTGTTTTAAGTCGTGTTCAGAAGGAAATGTAATTTTCTAGTTGGAATTAAACTACAACACCTAGACTAACACAAACACATTACTCAGAATTTCCAAGAAACATTTTAAAACACTGAATGTTTGGAATGTTTATAAAATTTTCATAAAGTCCTTTTACTGCAGAAGCTAAACCTAAAGAAAAACAATGAGAGATGTATGAATTGTCATTACACAACAGGGTAGAGCAATAACTTCTTTCTCTCTCCTGACACATCCCTCCTCCTTTCTCTCTTCTTTCCAGAGATAAATGCAGACTGATATTCAAAATTTCTTAAGACAAGTACAAACTGGTTCTCAGCAATCACTTCACTACTCTTCCTCTGGAGAAAGTACAATGACTGGAGTTACTGAGAGGCCACAGTCCCATTTTCTGAAAATGATTTAGTAGTAGTGATGAGTACCTGCAGTTGTCTGAAAAGACCCAGACCAAACTCTTCGTGCCCCTTTCCTTTATACAAAGGATGTAAGCAAAATTGATGGAAAACATTTGCCTTCAATTAAACCCTTTGTCTGAAGAGCGATCAGGTAAATGAACTCAGGAAAAAAAGTCAGGAAGCCATCCCAATTCTACAAAGGCTACTTCGCCATATCCCAGGAAATGACAGTAGTTTGAGACACCTCAACTGTCTGCCATTATCAGTGGTAAGGCACCATCCTGGGGAAAAGGATGATGGTCCCTTCCTCATTCAGGAAACAACTTCTTTTATCATCACACTGCAATTACATGAAAATATTATCAGCAATTTTATTATAAAAAATATTATCAGCATGCTCTCAGACATAGGGTCCTGTGTGGAACCAGGAGTTGGACTTAGGGGTCTCTTCCAACTGAGGATAGTTTACAAAATTATTGTGTACTTAAAATGCAAATAAGATAGTAATTTAAAAAAAAAAAATCTTTTTTTTTTTGTGGCTGATTAAAATTTTTAATGCAGAAGTCTATTTATCTCATATTTGAATCAAATACTATAAGCCTTCCTTCCTTTTTAGACACAAATGTTTAATAAAGACTATCCTTTCACATATGCTTCCCTCTCTGCAGTAAGATACTATAAAATGGAATTTAGGTGAATACTTAATTTTAATAAATGTAATTTGTTATCAATCAGAGGCAATAATCCTAAACTTTGATGCCACATAGAATGCTTTACTAAGTATCATTATGGTGTATATTAGATGACTTGGAAGTCTGTTGATGTTCCTTCCTGGTTTCTGCTGTTTGGAACCTTGTTGGTGTCCAAAGTTGCATGTCCCCAGTAGCTTCATATGGGGATCACAGAATTATAGAATCATCGAGGATGAAAATGACGTACAAGATCATCCAATCCAACTGTCTGCTTACCACCAATAGTTCTCATTAACCATGTTCCTCAACCCAATGTCTAAACGTTCCTTAAACACCTCCAGCGTTGGTGATTCCACCAAATCCCTGGGCAGCCTGACCACTCTTTCAGAGAAGTAGTATTTCCTAACATGAATTACAACCTGAATTTCCTGTGGTACAACTTGAGGCCATTTCTTCTAGTCCTATTGGTAGTTATATGAGAAAAGAGGCCAACCCCCAGCTCACTACAACCTCCCTTCTGGTAGTCATACAGAGCAATAAGGTCTCCCCTGAGCCTCCTCTCTTCCAGACTAAACAATTCCAGCTTCCTCAGCCACTCCTCATGAGGCTTATGCTCCAGACCCCTCACCAGCTTAGTCACCCTTCTTTGGACACACTCCAGGACCTCAATGCCTTTTTTTGTAGTGAGGGGCCCAAAACTGAACACAGTACTCAAGGTGTGGCCTCAACAGAGATGAGTACAGAGTAATTATTCCTCCCTTGCTCTTAGCTGGTTGCAGTACTTCTGATACAAGCCAAGATGCCATTGGTCTTGTGAGCCAGGTGTACACACTGCTTGTTCATGCTCAGCTGAGGGTGAACACCTCCAGATCCATTTCTTCTACACAGTCTTCCAGCCTCTCTACCCCAAGCCTGGGGTTTTGTGGCCAAAGTACAGGACCCAGTATTTGGTCTTGTTGAACTTCATCCCACTGGTGTCAGCCCAGTTATCCAGCCTGTCCAGATCCCTCTGAAGGGCCTTCCTACCCCCAGGCAGATCAACACTTTCTCCCAACTTCGTGTTATCTGCAAACTTACTGAGGGTACACTCAATCATCTCATCCAGGTCATCAATAAAGATACTGAACAGGACAGGCCCCAAGAGCAACTGCTGGGGAACACCACTCATGACTGGTTGCCAGCTGGATATAACACCACCACTCTCTGGGCCCAGCCATCCAGCCAGTTCTTTACCTAGAAAAGAATGTACCTGTCCAAGCCACAGGCTGCCAATTTCTCCAAGAGAATTCCATGGGAGACAGTGTCAAAGGCTTTGCTGAACTCTAGGTAGATTCTGTCAACTGAGTCAGTGTTGACAATATTTACGAAAATCTTTCTTCCCATCTCCTTGGTGATGGTGATTTGGTCATAATCTCAATTCCATATTATCGTTAATATATGGCCTAATGGCTATCTTCTGTTCCTTCTGTAAGCTTCTGATTACTACTTTGTTTCCCTTGCTGAGAAAGAGGTCACTTTTCTCCCATTTTGTTCCTTTGCTCTCAGACGCAAAGAGCAAGGTAAATAAATGGCCTTCTTCACTAATCTTTAGCTGTATCTATTTGAAGGAAAATAGCTGTGCTAAATCAGTAACAGAAGTACTGCACTTCAGATGACTATACTGAATTCCCTTCAACAAACTGGTAGCTACCAGAGGCTGACTAGTTCTTGGATTTGCACAGATGAAAGTGGTGCAACCGTAGCCAATGCTGACAAGTTTTACTATCAGGTGTCAAAACAGTACAGAACTACAAACTGAAAATTCCAGAGGAAATCCATGGTAATTCGTATGTTATTATACAAACAACTTATACATGATGTTTTTCTCTTTTCTTCCTCTTTCTCCTTATTGATGCATAGTATAAAGTTACTTTACAGATCAAAATAAACAAGGAGGAAAAGCAAGAAATCCCATTGTTAGTTTGAAGCAATTTCTTGTATCCCATCTTACTGATCTTGAATCCTACTTTACAGAATCATTTAATAGCCCAAGTTGGAAGGGGTCTTGAAAATCCTCATTTTTTTTGCTACCATGAGTCGACCATGTTTTTGCTATATGAGTCGACTCATATTAAACGACCCAAAGAGGGTCAGTGACCTACTTAGTCATTGGGTTGGACCAGGGAACCCGCCGAGAAGCAGACAAGCCCTCACGTCTGCTGACATCTTAGTCCTCTAGTATCTTTCCAGGAGCCCTTACACTGTTCCAACTCTTCACTTCTCAGCCCACCTGTGTGCAATCTACTTAGAATCATGCTCTAAAAGTACAAACACAGCAGACCACAAAGAAACCTCTTGTGAGGAATGCCCATTTAGTCACTTGTGATCCACAGATAGCTGAGAGATATGCACAGAGAGGCCTACTAGCCAGCAGAGAGCGCAGGCATAATTGGCTTGACAGCAACCAGCTAGGTGAATGGGGATTACTTTTGGGAAGACATTAGCAGAACAGGTTTCATTTGTGCTGATCTTAAGGTACTTTAAACAAGTAACAGAGTATTCTTGTTTTGAGTAATATCTCCATCTTGGCCGCCACTCAAGTAAACAATCATGCTGTGGTACAAATGAATTTGATTTTGAGAAAATACCCTAGATACATCCTGATATTAGAATACCTTCCTCCCTTCCCCTCCCTGGTGAAAAAGTAGAATGATAAACCAGATTCCCTCAAATTCCAGCACAAAAAGATTTTTAAAACATCTTGCAAACAGAAAAGAACACTTTCAGGCACAGAGCAAAGTAAGGTTGAATTTTTCTAACTTATATTCTGTTATGTCCATTTTTGGCATGCATTATTGAAACTCTGGTGCTAAGTATTTGAATTTGTGGAGTAGTTCAGCTTCAGGCCGTCACTAAATGGAAGATTCTGAGATCCACAGCTACATCTGAAAAACAGTCTTTCCCTTGTGGCTCACCAACAAAAATTTTGTGCTGATTTGCAATTATTCTTTTCAACAAAATTCTATTGGTGGCCAAAAGCAGTATGACAAGCAGCAAACAGCATAACTGAAGTAAAAGCACAACATTAACTACATCAAACCTCAAACGTCTTGCATTGTTAGAGAGAACTCTTTGTGAAAAGATGTTTTGCCTAAAAGAGGAATGACTTTTGAGACAACCCAGTGAAAACTACTATATCATAAGGAAACCAACCCCTGGTAATTCTTCAAAAGGAAGAAAATAACTAAAAATTGTTGGAGGAATCCAGCTGGGAGTACCAACAGTTTGGGTAGATGTAAAAATAAAAAATAAAATGTAAAAATAAAAGCAGTCATGAATAGGCAACAGGAGCCTATTTAATGCCTTCAAAATGGAAGAGCAGCTAATGAAGATAATATATGAAATATTTATCTGGACATTA